GTTTTGCTTGTTTTCTGAATTGCTTTCGCATTAATCTGGACTGGTTCTACCATGGTCCCAACAGTAATTTGGACTGTGTTGGCCATGACCTAAGCTGGAATTCTCACTGTTTTCTTTTTTGTTTTTTTGCATGGCCTCAGCAGCAGCACCAGCCGCTGCAGCAGGATACCTGCCAGCTGCAGTCAGACTTGTCAACTGCTTAGTGTTTCACTTCTTGTATCAGTTACTTGCTCTTTTTCTCACTCTTCCACTTTCTGCCAGGCTTCTTCTGTGAAAACAGTCAAGGAATTACTTTGGCAAAGAACCAACTACTACACTAGTACAGCGTTGCTCCAGCTACTGTCTGCAATATTCAGACTATAAATGTTCTTCTTCATGAAAATTCACTTTATCCACAGAATCCAAAAGTAAAAGGAAAAACAGTCTTTAATTTTGAACATTATAATCAGTTTTCATAATACTTTTGAAAATAACATTAAACAGTAATGTTGTGCTTCATCTGACCATCCTTTTAAATTAACAGAGGTACAGTGTTCAGCATATAGTGAGAAGGTGTAGAGTTTACACAGGCTCCTGCTCTGGTTAATTAAAGGCCTGAAGTTACCTACAGGTACAGTATTCGTATTAAAATAGAGTTTTTTTTATTTCAGCTTAAGATAAACTATGAATTAAATTCTTCTTGAGGCTGGAGCCAATGTTGGACTATCAATTGCAGGGAGCCACAAATTATTTTGAAACACAGGCTTCATGAGGCAACAGTAGTGTTATTAGACTGAGGACAGACAGAAGGAAATAAAGTCACCATACTTTTCAACACTTCAGTCTTTTCAAGTGGAAAAAAAAACTATTAACAAACAATTGAACTGAACTGGAAAAGTCAAAAACACTACAAATAAGTGGGAGAAAGTGCACACCATTTTTTTTAGCATAATTCAAAGTAAGTGACTGAAAGAGCAGAAAAAGACAGAAGTTAAGAAAAATACAAACATGGACCATATAAAATGAAACTGATAAATTAAAAGCAGCAGAAATAAGAGCTTTCTTTAGCTTACTTTTAAAAACAGTT